ACAGAGATCTCAGATGTTGACAAAGCGGAGGAATTTCGCAAGCAACAGGCTGACTTTGTGGACCTGAGCTTCCCAACCACTTCCAGTACGGGACCCAATGGCGCCATCATTCATTACACGCCAGTCCCTGAGACGAATAGGACCTTGTCCTTGGATGAGGTGTACCTCATTGACTCAGGCGCTCAGTACAAGGATGGAACCACAGACGTGACTCGGATCATGCACTTTGGGACCCCTACAGCCTACGAGAAGGAATGCTTCACGTATATCCTCAAGGGTCACATAGCTGTGAGTGCAGCCGTTTTCCCGACTGGAACCAAAGGCCACCTTCTCAACTCCTTTGCCCGCTCAGCCTTATGGCATTCGGGCCTGGATTACCTGCATGGCCCAGGAAATGAGATCGGGTCTTTTCTGAATGTTCATGAGGGTCCTTGTGGCATCAGTTACAAAACCTTCTCTGATGAGCCCTTGGAAGCAGGCATGGTTGTCACTGATGAACCAGGCTACTATGAAGATGGAGCTTTTGGAATTCGCATTGAGAATGTTGTCCTGGTGGTACCTGTTAAGACCAAGTATAACTTCAATAACCGGGGAAGCCTGACCTTTGAACCTCTAACTTTGGTTCCAATACTGACCAAAATGATAGATGTGGATTCTCTTACAGACAAAGAGTGTGACTGGCTCAACAACTACCACGTGACCTGCAGGGACGTGATCCAGAAGGAGCTGCAGAAGCAGGGTCGCCAGGAGGCCCTCGAGTGGCTCCTCAGAGAGATGCAGCCTGTCTCCAGACAGCACTGATACCTCCCTGGGTTTGGGTTTTGTAAAAAGCTCTGAGGAAAGGGAGAGACGTGGCAGACGCTTGCCATTTTCCCCTCTCACTTCCTTCCCCCCACCTCTCCTTTTTACTTTAAATTCTTAAGAAGAATTCAAACCTTCTTAAAAAATGAGCACAGCCCTCCAAACCGCTGGATTTTTTTATTCCTGACCTCTACAATGGTCAAAGAATAAATCTGCATGGATTAAAGTTTTAAAAAATTAAAAAGCAGGAAAGGAGGGTGCATTGGGGCTAGAAATATAAAGGGAACATTTTTTTCTGAGTTGGTATGGAAAAGGAATATTCTAAGAAGATGAATCAGCATCATAAGAAGATGCATCAGCATCAGTAAAGGTGTTATTTATTACAGGACCATTTCAGGACTGAAACTGACTTTCATGTAAACAAATAGAGTATCATAAGAATTTCATGGGATCTTTAGAAGAAGAGGAGTAAAGGACAATAATTACAAAGCCTGCAGCAGAGTATTTGGTGAAAGGCACGCATTTAACAAAAAAACAATGTTGGTTTTAGGTGCCATCCGGTCAGTTCTGACTCATAGTGACTCTATGCACAACAGAATGAAACACTACCCAGTTCTGTGCCATCCTCACAAT